AATTTCGGGGGGGGGGGGCTGCATCCCACTATGCCAACCCTCTAAATACGCCACTGCTATGGACTATAATATCTATCATAATACTATAAAAGGCACACTACTCAACTCTCAACAGACGACTTATAGACAATACTGTAAATCGTTGCCTGTCTATGACAGTGAGTGGGAACAAAGGCGTAGTAAATGTTTTTTTTAGAAAACCGGTATTCTATGGGTTACCAGTAACCGAATTTTTTTGGAATCGGTTATCACTTCATCGGTAACCTGTAGTTTTGAATATATAATATAGGTAATTAGTTACCGCTAAAAACAGGACCTGTATAAAACCGGTAACCGGTATCCAAAATGTTTTCGATTTATTTAGTAACGGTTTCAAGCCCTGCTCTAAGACTGTAAACTTTTTTTGGATCGGGGATTGTTTAAAACGTTTATATATTATTATTCCGTCGTAAAGATATTCACCGAGTCGTCTGTTGTTTCAAGTAGATCGTGTGCAGAGTCTGAAAGGTCAAATTATTATAATGAGTGTAAAAACGAAGTTTGAAGTTAAGAAATCAAAGACAAAAAATAATATGGAAATAATAAATTTAAAAAAAAAAACAATTTTTTTTTCGTATTAAAACAAGGATCGATGTCATACCCAAGTATTTCAAAGGTTATACAAACTTTTAAAAGGAAGAGTAATTTCGAAAAGAGTGTTTCAACCTCAGACGATAAGACGTAGGTAATAAAAGTTGTGAAATATGTGCGTGTTTCGGTTTTGGAAACCCATAACTTGTTTTCTACTTTTTATGATATTATACCTCATACCTTATAAGTACCCCACCATAGGTAGAAGAAAATCTTTTGACTTTAACATCCAAAGGTAAGCTAATATTATTATGAATATGATAATAAATACACAGATTTTAACAAAAAAAATATTTAAATTGAGAACCTTCCGATTACTTAAAATGCTGATTGCTAATAATATTAGGTATGTAATTTACCACAATTTTTGCATTATTATTATGAATTTATGATATTTTTTTTCAAACCTTTGCTGAATAAAATATATTGGATACAGTGTAAGAGAATAACACTTTAATGTTTAGAAAACCATATAAGCATTCAAAATATGTATATTCTTAAAACATATCTACTATATACAGAGTGGTGCATACTAGTTACCTCCCAAAATTTAAGAATGGGCTCCCATCCTTTAATTTTTTTTTATTTTATTTATTTCAAACAAATATACATCAATGTAATATTACATTATAATAACTTAAATAGTATATATTTTGTACAATGTTGATACCTAATCTCTGTAAGCAGTGCTTGTCACCACAATAGTCTCGCCAGATTAGGGAATCTTAAATAATATTAATAAGTTGAAGTTAATAACATGATAATGATAAATACATAAAACAATTTTTTTTTGTTTGATAAAAATGACATTAATAGAACAACGATTTAGACATGAAAACTATGTAACTGACTAAAAACATTTAGATATAGGACTACTAATGAAATTAATAGAGATTAAGGTTATTAATTATTATTTTGATATTATTTGGTAATTCATTAAAGAGTTTTATTCCCCTGTATATATACAACATTTTTATCATAGTCGTGTTAGGTTTAAATGATATTAGATTACCGTTATTCATATTCCGGGTAACAATAGTGCTATTATTATTTTTATTGAGTGGTACCAATTGATTTTAAGCCTGTAGATTTTCGTTGTTGATAGTTTATTATATAACTGTTCTATATTTAATATCCTAAGTTTTTTAAACATATCGTTATTAGTACAATTACCCTCAATATAATCTTGTTTTAATATTATTCGTACTAGTGTTCTATGGACTCCATTTAGCGAGGCTCAAGAGCCTTTCTATACTTAGATCACCGTGTTAAAATGCCATATGTCAATATTGACTGTATTATAGCAAAATAAATAATTTCAATATTACTGATATCAAGTATATTTCGTAATTTCTTAAATATGTAAAAGCATTTTCTGACGCGTGATATTATTGATTCAATATGTTTTTTTCCATTTTAATTGGCCATCAAATATTACACCCAAATATTTTGTTGATTTTACTCTGCTTAGTCTCGAAATTAATCTACATTTACAACACTCAGGTGTTCAACCTGGACACCTGTTCATCTATAGAGCCACTTCGGGTCGTAATAAACGTGGTAATAATAGATGGACGACGACACAAGATGATACACCACACGACGATTGTGGTAGACGTTTGGAAATGTTCTAAATCAGCAAAAAAAATAAATAAAAAAAAATAAACTATGATTTCCGACGTCTTTGTCATATTTAACAATTTATTTTATATCTATTACAAATTACCAATAATTGATCGACTCTATGTATTGAAACGGTAGTAAATAAGATTTTTTTAAAAGGAAGGCATTTCAGGAAGGTGGTCAGAACCCTAAAACCCTATCTCTGAGTACTCCACTGCAAATTAATATTTTCGAATGTAAACAAATATTATGTAATTTACCATACCTTTTGTATTATTATTATTGATTTATTCAATTTTTAAAAGCTGTGTTTAATAAAATATGTTGGATACAGTGTGAGTGATTAACATTTTACAACCAGCTTAAAAGTTATATATTTCTCAAATTCCTATCTTTAATAATAGTTGGTTAAGTGTATTATAATGTATTTAATCATAAGGTACTTAAACAACTTAATCAAAAACGTTGTAAGTAACTATCTTGTACTTTGCAATAATAATTATTAGAAGCATATAATTACCAATACAAAGGACTTATCATCGTAATCGGTGAAAGACAATCGCCAAAATTAGAGAAGAAAAAAATATTCTGCGTGCCACTGTTATTAGATATTAAATTTAGAACTAAATATAATATTTTAACAATTTTTCATTGACAATTTTTTTATGAGATCGAAAAAATCAACCTGTTTATTAAAATTGTAATTCATTAATTTCTATTATATTTATCAAATGATAATATTAGATAGGCGTTTATGTCTTACAAGTTTTATCGCAATAAAGACGTCCAATGTCCATGGCATACTCCTGAGATTTGTGAGTATATTTTTACACTATCAACTTGAGAGTGGGCCAAATTCATTTAACCCATCCACTTAACCCGATGTCGTCGAGATCTTTGTCAAAAGCTATTGGTTTTGATTCGCGAGAATTTGCGATCTTGGTCCCTGGATTTGAGAGCATTTGAGAGCTTGGTCCCGAAATTTGTTAGTCATTCAAAGCTGCTCAGATACTCTCCATATTTACTCGCAAAATATTGCCATAATTTTCATATTGATTTGTTGGCCAACTTCGCGGACTTATAATAATGATATTACGTCATTTTTGTTCCTTTGGCGTTTATGTCATAAAGCTATCACAATCAGGGGAAATGCTTATGACCAATGATCGAATGAATATAGTCTATGGAATTTACTGATATTTGAATGACGACGTGTGCATGATATGAATGATAATATACTAAAGTAATTGATAAAGTTTATTTCTATTCGTTATGTGTAGGTACTTCTAAACACTTAAGTTAGGTTAGGTTAGGTTAAAGTAAGGGGAAATTATTTTTCTACTACGTAGTCCGTGTGAAGCGAGCGCGGAGTGGCGGAAAACGTCGGAAAATGTTTTTTCATGCAAATCAGCAGGATCCAAATGTATATTACGAGCATTGCACATCGACGAGGATCAGTAAATCCAGTGTTTTCCTTTTCGAGGATTAACCGAGAAATTTCGGTACTTCGTATTTCGGTAGCTTTAGGTCCTTGTGACAATATTTGTTTAGGCGCATTTAACAGTATTGGTTCGGTTAACGCACACACACACACACACACACACACACACACACTCGCTTTGGCATATTAGCACATTATTTGACATGATTACGAAATAATGAGGTATGCTAATCCACGTTGGAAACAATGGTTACATCGTCGACCGCGGCCATGAAAAACATACAATGCACGGCGTGCACTCGTCAACAATTTAGTGATGAGAATTGATAACGAAAATAACAACCAGATAAGAATACAAGATGCAGATAATTTGTACACACATTTGTCTGGATAGAGATTAATACATTTTACATTCATCCCGATATCGATTAAAAATATTTCGGTGTCGGTTTTGATTTTTTTCGACTTTGGTTTCAATTTTTCAATACCGGTATTAGGAAATTTCGGTTTTGGTTTCGATTTTATACACCGGTTTACAATTTTTTTGGTTTTGGTTCTAATAACTATAATACCTGTTTCCTATTTGTTCTTGTTTCGTTTTTGATCTTGTTTTCGGTTTCAGTTTTTAAACGGTTTATACCGGTTTCGAAAATTGGCATCAAGGCATGGACTATTTACGTCCGTTCTTAGTTTTGTAATTTATTTGAATCACCTTTTGTGTAAAGTAAACTTTTCGAAATGTTCAAGATACAAAGATTTTCAAAATAAATACTTTTTTTAAAATTATATTTTCTGTTCCGGTTTTTAATTATAATACCGGTTTCAAATTGTTTTTGGTTTCGGTTTAAAATTATAATACCGATATCCGATTTTTTTCGGTTTCGGTTTTATAACGGTTTAAACTGGTTTCTGAAACCGGTTTTGAAACCAGTTTCAAGTCCTGAATTTGTCTAGCTAATGTGGTCGATTATAAAGCTAAATTATATTATATTTCAATTACAAACTATGTACTTCTTTACCTAGGTACGTGAGCATAAAGTAACTAATAGTTAATAGGTACATATACAGAAATATGGTAATATTATGTACCTATTGGAAAGTGTTCTGATAGAACAATTTTAGTAAAAATAAAAACGAATACTATCTAAATAAAATTGATCTAGATAATTAAATGCTTCATCAAAGATAACCAATAGATAAATGTCACAATAGTCGTCTAGATGAGATTATAGATGAGTGATTTTTTTACCTAGATAAGTCTCTACACTGCTCGTCGTCGTTATATCAAGCAAGCAGGAGTTCTCGGATGGCTGCAGTAACACACCACTCGCCAACACGCCCTCACACCCGTACACCCGAACACCCACACACCCAAACACCCGCGAGCACAGCCTCGCATGATATCGCGTACGACAATATTGGACCGGAAATTAGTATTGTTCTTTCGTCTGAGGCAATATTGGCTTTTCCAGAGGCGATCATGTGGAAATCTCGTTTTTGCAGGATTGCTTTTCCGCTTGTGTCGTTCCGCGGTCGGCAGACGCCATGGCGGATGTCGGGAGGATATATCGGAATCCGGATGGCGACAATAACAGTGTTGGAGGGCAAGGGTGGGGTGGGTTGGGGCTTAAATACCCCAGCTGATGTTCGACAAGCAAAAGCGCGTACTCTGCTGAACCACCTCGATTCCATTACGAGTTCCAGCGGCGGGGGTGGTTATCCGAGAGGAAAAAAACAGTAAACGCGAGTCATGTGTCAAAGGAATCCGATGGACCCACAGCGGCTGCAGCGGAGCGCTACGATAGCTGATCTGTACCGATGCGGTATATACCACGTGTTACCAAGAAAACTGCAAAGTAGGTAGTACACCCCGTATAACTATAGGTTACTTATAATAATTATACTCAGAACCTTTTAGATATAATATTGAATTCTTTTCGATGGACAATGGATTTCGTCAAAGGCAGGAGGGTTAAGCTAGTTTTTAACTTACGCTATTCGATCATAACCTAATGTAATTTTTTGTCTTACCTGATATAAATTTTTTTCAATCATCGTAGAAATGCAAAATCTAATTAAAAACGTACTAATAAGAATATATTTTTATTAAATCATGTTGTATAATTGCGTAATAATTGGTATTATGTTGTTTGTTGTTATATTTACAGCCTTGGCGGCCTAACCATTGATCCGACTATATTATAGTCTATTCCACGAGAGAATAATCAGTCCACCGACCGATTCTCGTCAGGGCCACGCATCCCTAAGCAACCTGTGTTAAAGTGATCACGTGGCTCTCGACGCACCAATCGAATCGTTCGTGATGCAAGAAAAGTGATTATTTTCTCGAGGAATAGACTATAGAATAATTTATTATAATTAATTTACACAATAATTAAATATTATATGAATAAATTGACATTCCAAGCATACTTTTAACCAAACCTAAAAACCTATATTTTCAATTAGTATAAGACATTTTTTATCTGTCAATATTTGAACTGTGAAGGCCCCTCGATTTTTCATCAGAACGACCTTAGTGACTGACAACAATAAAGGTATTTCTAGTAGTTTAATTTAAAAATGAAAAGATTTTTTATTCGATAAGTAAATTTACTTTCCATTAATCCTTTTGATACTTAACCCAATTACACAAATATTTTCTTACCGCCTAAATCACATGTTATAATAAACAGCGTACTTACCTCTAGTATTTCTCGAACTTAAAAATTTGAATAATAACATTATGACAGTTTTTGCGAATATAGTCATATTATGTGGCCGCAATTATCACAGTCGTTAACAGAAATAAGTAGAAATAATAATTGGACAACAATTTAATACATATTATACGTATTATAAATTGTTAAAAATATTGAAAACAATGGTATTTGGGGGGGAGGACCATTTCCCTCATCGCCACTCCGTTTGACCTATAAAGACCAATAAACTATTGGATCACAAATTTCCATGTGACTGTCAATTTTTTAACTATTGTGCCCATGCGCAACACCTTCACTTCTTCTGTATACTTACCCTGTTTTCTACGCTCAGACGCGAGGCTTCAAATCCGACGACGAACAAAAAACCCGTCTTTGTGCGAATTACAAAAGTGCTTTATATTTCGTTATAAGACATCGCTACTGCTGCACAGTATATTAGGTGCGCCGGCCATAGTCGTATTATTACGGCTTTACGGAGACTTATCGATTTAATAATACAATAAATCACAAAACGTATATTTATATACAGTGTGCACAGATCAAATACATCTTGTATAATAAATCTAATAATAATAAATTGGTCCGGTCGTTCCGCTGCGTGACACTTACTATTACTTTCTCGCTAAATTTTCATACTATAAACTCTTTGCAGTACCTATTTCAATGCTTATAAATTGTAGTTTGATGTGATTATAAATTACGTCGATGGTATTTTGGAAAAAATAAATTATCGGTAGGTATTTCTGGTCTGATGGTTTTTTTTATATCGTTTTATTTATATAGGTCATATTATTGTACTGAGTAAGTTTTTTTTTTTTACAAAATCGTCATTCGACTCCTTTAAACACTATCGATTTAATTGTTACAGGTTATTATTATTTTTTTTTAACATAATTATTTTATTAGACAATCTGTTACAAAATTTTAACAATAAATTTATAATTTTTTTTTAGTACGCACAGAAAACACAGAGTGAAGAGACCTCCCAGAAGAGGTGCAAATAGCGTTAAAGATTTTTGGGACTGAAGCCCTAGCTACTGAATAAAGCATTCATAAAAGTATTAACACCTAAACATTTTTTTTTTTTGGTACAACATAGTTATATCGTATACTGCGTACTTAATTACAATATTGACTGAAAATAAAACTTACTAAATCTTTTTTTCAAATGTGCTATTTCATCTACTTATACCTAATAGTTGTCAAAATTGTATTTATAATTATACATCATACACCACATAACTTCTAGGAAAATAATAGGAATTATCAATACCATAAGTATGGCTTTAGAGCAACAAGTAATAACAAAATAATATAGTTATAGAACAAATTTTTATTTTAAAAATGTACCCAATACATTTTTAGAGCCTTATTCTTCGATTGGATTTAGCAAATGTGTTTAATATTATTTCAGTATCTACTATAATATCTTTTTCGATATTCAATATTGCTAAATTAGTAAATCGGCCCTGAGTCATGTTAGCCCGGACATATGTGTTGATCCTTCTCATAGTTGAAAAGGATCTTTCACAAGTGGTCGAGCTCACTGGTAATGTTATTGCCACTTGCATAATTTTAAATAAATTAGGAAATACTTCTTCATTTAGATGTTTTTTGGTATTTTCAAAATTAACTTCTCTCATCATGTTTTTCATTTTATTCATTTCACATTTTAAGTTTGAAGAATTGATATCAAAAGTATCCTGTACACAAATATACCAAAAAAAAACAAAATAGTTAAAAAAAATTATTTGTCAAATGGAATTCATAATTTATAAATATTTCTCAAATACAAGTTACATCCTACTTTTTAATAATCAATAAGAAAACTTGATTGTTGAAAATTTAATTTAAATAATTCATCAATTGCTGTTGCAATTTTAAAACTCTCCTCTGAAAATCTAGTTCTCAAACTAAGTATAATTGGATCTAATATTGGATAGGTGGCATAATACTATGACAAATAACATTTGTTCATTTACGAATTACATAATATTAAAAATACGAACACGAATTTTGCATCATACACTATAGTAATACTGGTAAAGCTTCAAAAAAATTAGGAAATGTTTGGGGGGCTATTGAAGTGTTTTGTGGGTGGGGGCTTAGCCCCTTAAGCCCCATCCCCCTATTTAGGCCTATGCATCGCAGTATAAGTACTTCGTCAATATATAGTTAATATTATAGCTAACTCATGCACTTGCATTTATACATTTATTTTTTTTTTACATAACATTAGATAAAAGCTAATGAATTATAATAATATACTCATGTGATCAGGTCACGACACCACTGTATTTTTACATGCTTTTCTTTAACTCACAATGTTTCATTCCTGTTGTCTTCAAATCTTGCGCGCTCGATTTGAGGCACTTATTTACGATGAAAAATTCTGAAAATTGGTATAGACATAGGTCTTGGAAGGCAATACAATAATCCGTTGTTATTTTGGGACCCGGACTTCCAGGTCGGCGATGACGGGTGTGCAAAGTCATCTCCGAGGAAGAAGAATAAATAATATACAGGTACGAAATTTTGTTTATAAACGGTTTCCATGGGTTATAAAACTATTATAATAATAATTACTTTTAACTTTTAACGCGTTTCATTGTTAAAACAGTAAGAAATCGAAATTTTCGTAGGGGCTAAAGTTATGCTTAGAACAAACTTAAATGTATCTCAAGGACTTGTAAATGGTGCAATTAGAAATATAACAGAGATTAACTGGCCCAATTTTGCTAGAGATCAACTTTATGATGAATGTATACCAAAATCAATTCGCGTCGACTTTGGAAAAGATGGTATCCATAAAATAGAGCCTATATCTATTCATTAAAATATAATATTACATAGTTGCTTATACAGTAAGTTCTCGTTACAACGAACTCCAAGGGACCACATTTTTTTTCGTTATAACGGAAATTTCGTTGTAAGGTCATTAGAAAAGCTTAATAGCTTTTCTGTAGGGGACTTCTAGGACTTTCGTTATAACGGGATTTTTCGTTGTATCGGTATTCGTTGTAACGGGAACTTACTGTAATATTCAAATGTACCGAAAATAATAAATATTATGCTTTCAAAAAATCGTTTGTTTCTAATTTATAGTTATCACTAAAAAATAGAAAATAAAATAAATAAAAAAATAATTTTTAAAAACATGCTTTTCTTAATACTACTTAATAAATGAACGAAAATGTTGAAAATAAACTTACTTTTAAAACAATTTCTTAATGAAACTTCAAGGTTAACAAGATATTACTAAAAGTGTTTATAAAATGTATTTGTTGAACAATTTTTAAAAATTCTGAATTACAAAAAAAAGAAATGCATGGGGCTCTTATGGGTCAGGAATATCTCTTACAAAATTGTGAGTGTGAACAATAATCTTTAAAATATTTATCATAAAGTTTATATAAAAATTCAGTTGTAGAGTGACTTTACGTATGACTTATCATAAGTATATAAGTTATCTCTTTTCATAAAAGTGTCCAATAACAACAAAATTCAACAATTTCAGAATATTGCTCTTAGGAAAATTACTAATGCTTGTTTCGAATTACACTATACATAATGACCTGTCAATTAAAACCGTGGCTCTTATGAGTCAGGAATATCTCTTACAAAATTGGAAGTGTGTTCAATAATCTTTAAAATATTTATCATAAAGTTTATCTAAAGATTCAGTTGTAGAGTGCCCTTACGTAGGAGTTATCATAAGTGCCCCATGCATTTCTTTTTTTTGTAATTCAGAATTTTTAAAAATTGTTCAACAAATACATTTTATAAACACTTTTAGTAATATCTTGTTAACCTTGAAGTTTCATTAAGAAATTGTTTTAAAAGTAAGTTTATTTTCAACATTTTCGTTCATTTATTAAGTAGTATTAAGAAAAGCATGTTTTTAAAAATTATTTTTTTATTTATTTTTAATCTCTTTTTGGGATTACCAGGTGTGGACATGTAATAGATTATAATCGATAGATTAATATATTTGTAAAAACCGATATTTATATTGTTGCTATGGCGTTCAGATAAATATTTCGCTTTTAATTTATTATCAGATGTTGCTGATCGAAAAAGTTATTGAACGAAAAAAAAAGAAATATTAATTAAGTTAAGGAAATAGAAAATAATTTGATTTAGTTTTGTTAAGACGTATAGGTAGTAGTGCATTGTAACTATTTTGCATAGTGTGTTTACTTATTATTGTTAAAATTTGCTCGGCTCTAAGTACAGTTGTAGTACGTATTCACAATAGTAAGATTTCTGATGTAGAAGTGGGAAGGAACTAGGTAACCATTGAAATGATGGGTAGGTGTTGGCTGGAGGCATCTAAAATTCTACATTAATAACTAGTAGACAAATTGGTTCGTCAAAATCATTATCAAACTGTAAGAAAGTTTTTATTTTTTAACGAAATCACATGATTTGTGAAAAAAAAAACAGTTAGGTAATTTATATTGTTTTACATTGTGGAAAAAGATAAAATAATTAACGCAATTTTATCATCGGTTGTAGTTGAATTTTTCTTCCTTTTGCAGAGCCCTGACTAAAATCACGCTAAGAACGGATATGAGCATCTGAAACAAATACAAGTGTCACAATATTAGTCAGTGAACTGATATAAAGTAAATCAATCGTTGGACATTTTTAAAATGCTTGAATTTTTTTTTCACATAATTTATTGTATTTTAACGCGCTGTACAGATGTAACTACCCATTTCGTCACACACTCTCAAGCAATGCTGGGCATTAAAGAGTTAAAAGTTAAAATTAAGTTCATACGTTAAGTTAATTTTAATGTATAGTTAATTTAACTGGTCACTTTTTTCTCAAATTCACTTTTTATTTAATCGGTTAATTTTTTTTTTAAGATTAACGTGTTGACTTCAAGTTAATTTTATTCAAAAATATCTAAATTAAGTTAATTTTGATAGGAAGAATAATGCACATTTTCGAATGAGGTTTTTACTTGGATGTATCATTTTAAATATCCCCTGTAATATTTTTGAGCGTGAAGATAAACAATCTAATAAACCTTATTATGAGTCGGGAATTTTTTTATTTTTGCAAATTAGAATATTTTAGCTTTAAACTGAGTTAAGTTAATTTTTTTTCAAAGTTAACTTTTAACTTAACAAGTATGAGTAACTTTTCACTTAACCCTTAACTTGTCAAGCATTAAAATATTAGAATGAAAATTTTAAAGTAGATATTTTCAAACTAATTTAAGGTCGCTGAATTCAAAAATGTTGTCAAAAAAAATATTGGACTTGAAAGTTCAAAGTTATGAATTGTATCTTAAAAGATACATAGCCATAAACCAATACATGTATCTAAAAGGATACATACTTTTAAAATTGATATGAAATAAGCATTATTGCATATATTATTAGAAACTTTACATAAAAGTGATTAACTGAGTTGATTCTAGTAACACATTAAAATTTGATGAAATTAGTAGTTGAAGTCAACGAGTTTGATCGGCTTTAAATTTCCAAAAAATGATAACAAAAAACAGTTATTACTTATTATCAATCCCAATCATCGTTGAAACGTTATCGTAGTGTACTCACGTGGGAGATATGACATTTATCAAAATGTACAAATAATAAAAATAAAAATATTGTACATCGGATTCCGTACAAAAATTCACAAACTTTGTGTATCCAAAAAGATACAACACCAAGTTAAGGGTTAACTCAATTTTATTATTTTAAAATAAATTAAAGAGTTAAAAAAAAATCGTTAACTTGCCCAGGCTTGCTCTCAAGCACCTTACAACTATGTTCCCCTCAAGTACTCGCTGAATTCCAATAAGGTAATCATAATATTTAAAACAATTCGATATATTTTAATGACTATTAAGCACAAATAAATTTAAATACCTAAATACCGTCCATACAATTTCGTTTAAACAGGACTATAGTTAAGTTCTGCAGTATTAGACTAAAGTAGTAGTAATATTGTCCAACTCTAAGTAAACATGAAATAGTATACATCTTACGGTAGATAAAGTACAATATGATAACATGACAAATCGATCGCTATTGAATGTTTTAATACGTTTTTTTTTTAAATATAAAAAGTGATCCTTAGATGAAACAGTTTATTTCCACTCTCTCAAAAACATTGAGTAATATAGAACAGTTGGTCGTCCCACTGAATATTCATTTGTGGAAAAAAAATTGGAAAGATCAAAGGTTAATTTCATCACGTTTCAATCATTTCTTATACATTTTTGGATCACTTATAGTACAGCAAACTTGGTTACGGTAAACACCACTAGGCCCGGGGGAAGCAGTTGTATTTAGGGTTTGGTACTAAAATATCAGATTCTATATACTTAAGCTCTTTTTTTTATTATTATTTATAAAAGATATTTACAACTTGTATATACACAAAAAATAGAATAAGTAAATAGGATGACAATAAATTCTACTTGTGACAAGATCGAGGGAAGGGACCGTCCATCGACACAACTTCCAAGATATATTTTAAGCTTAAAAAAAATTCGATTTCGTATTTCCACCGTTAGACATTATTATTAATTTTTCAAATATTTCTGCTGATAAGGAAATGCGATTCATACATTAAAGTGTTTCCAATATTGTTTCGTTGGTCGATTTCGAGTCGAATTTTAATCCGATGACCGGGTCACGACAGGTCAAAATTATACAAGTTCAAAAATCGAATTCGACCGAATTCGCCGTAAACACCGAGTCCGATTTGTATTTTATTCAGTATTGAGGGCGGTGTATTTGATCGGTTATTTTAATATTACCCGTCGGACGTTATAAGTAATCACGATAAATCACAAGGCGAGACTGTCCGACGAGAAGCATTCAAGTAATCAAATAAACCAAATTGTCTTTGCTAATAGTTTCCCGAGCTCGAACCTGCTAAATAATGAGATTTTCTTTTCATTAGAGAAAAAAAAATAATATTTTTGCGCCAGAAATATCGGAACGGCGAGTCAGGTAGAGGTGTGTACAGGAAAAATAATTTTAATTATTTAAATTAGCATCGGAGAGAAAAATGGCAGATTTAACTTTTTACCTTCATCTCGTCTCTTGATTTTTTGTTTCTTGTTATTTTATATATATATATATATATATATATATTTTTTTTTTTTATTATTATTATTATTATTATTATTTTTTTTGTAGTTTATAGAAATAATATAATATAAAAAGAACGAACGTTATAAATAGCTTTATCTTTAGTTTTTTGTAAATTATGCAAATTTAAGCGAAACGAAATATTTATTTTATGAATTTAGTAATCTTTTCAACTTTTACACCCCCTCCACATCATCATAAGTTTATTATTTTTAATTTATATTCTGGTTATTGTATTTATTTTGTATTAATTTTTATTTTTTTTTCTACTTTGGAATTTGTTTGTTGTATACGAAAAGAAATAATTTTACAAACTATTTTACAGTTTTTTTTTTTTTGTACGAATATACAATAATTATATATAGGTACATCGGTTCTTAAATTAGCATAAAATATTTCAAGAACCTTTTACGATGTTATTTGAATAGAACTATACGGATGGACATTATTGTTCAAAACATGTTGCAATCAAAATTGAAAAGTAAACAATTTTAAGCAATAGTTCTATAGACAATGATGTATATTTTTAATATTCATCGAATTAAAAAAAAATGTTTAAATTATTGAAATTAAATTTTAATTTTGTTCTATTCTATATCAGATAATATTATCAGGCGATTACCTACCTTATTTTACGATTTTTTTACACAACATAGTACTTATCTATTATGCCATAATAAATGCAATCATAATATCGAAAACACCAAAATAAAATGAATCAACAGGTTGGAATAAGGTAAATCATAGCTTCGTCTTTGAGATTTTTGTTTATTTATGTAAAATTACATATTTAGAATATAGTCGCAGGTTATATAAAACCAGTAGGTGCACTTCCAATTCGAGGCAAGTAATTCTCAAAAATGTAAAGAAATCAGAACATACCTCAAATCAGTATCAACACTAACAGAGATAAACAATTCTTTATGAGAAATTATTGGTTATCATTAGATTATACTGCACTGTTGCATCCGAGTTGCACTGACTTAGGTCACTGATAATCGTGCTTGCTGGTGCAAGTGTAGACGAAACACAAAATCAGTACTTATCAGAGATAATATAAAAAGGTAATAAAAAATTTTATATATCTATGGTAAGTATCGATAATGATAGGGAGCTCCAGAAGCTCGTGCAATCATAACTGCACTAGGTGCAAGAAACTCACATACCTAGTGCAGTAACGTGGCACATACAATTTGTAATTTAGTGCACACTGGAATAGCTGGTGAAACATAAAATAATGCGAAGTGGTGGAAAACGCTGTTATAAATACTGTTAAATTAATCTTTATTTAGATAAACTATTAGTTATCTATTCCCAACAAGCTGCTTCCTGCAAGACTTGGTATTTTATACACAGACAAAATGTTCACAAATCAGTAACTCACACTGTAACATAACAATACAGTGACACCTCAAAATATCGTTCTCAGTCACTGAAATTTTGTCCACTATTCAGAGGGTTAAGTTTATGGTTTGTTCCCCCCAGAAAAATTCCAGCTATTCAGAGGCGTACTTTAAGGGAGGTTTTATATTTTTGCTGTAATGTGAAACTTGAATCATTTTCTGACAGTGCTTTCCAAAATGTTTTACATAATACACATTTATGTGTATATATTATATTAATAACATTGAGGCACTACACTGTTGTAGGAACTTACTGACTACTGAAAGGAAATCATTTACGGTTTACAATCAATCTGGAATTAAATACTTCAACATTTTCAAGAAAATTCTAAATTCTAAATAATCTACAATAAAAAAGGGGTGTCTCACTAAAAAAATATAAGTTTGTAATGCCACAGGACACTTCTAAGTTCTAATAGTACAAACCTTTCAGGAATTTTCAGGAATTTTTTTAGGTATAGGTACTTGAACATTTTAAAAAGCAGAGTTTCAATAAAATTATGTATTATTAAAGCGAAAATTGGGAGTTAGCATGTTTATTTATTTTTTTACTAATTAATTAACTCCAGTCGGCATTTACATAGTTGGTAATATATATATACAAGTGATGAAAAATGATAATATAAATGTAAAACTTATTGACAATATAGATAATAATATTAAATTTAATATACTAATAATTTAATAATAATGTTTAAAATATTATGAGATAAATAATAATACATATTAATAATATTATAGTTAAATAAGTAGGTCTTTTAAGTATGATTTGACAGTTTAAAAAAAAAGTCATGGGGGGATACGCCACCCAAATTGAGTGGCGGTCCACAATAAAATCTTCTCGTCCTCAGGCTGGCCCACACTGGATGATTTCAAAGTATTTTTGCTTAGAGTTACATTATAATATTTTAAAATTTATAAAATTAGTTTTGTGTGCGACGTGACTGTACCGGGTTTTTACACAATCCGGTCTACTCACTGTGTGGTGGTGGTAGCAATAATACAATACATTTTTCTCGAGAACTGTTGAAAATTGGTGGATATATTATGACTTGA